ACCGCAGCTCTGATTCCCGCCCACGTACCGCCACCGGGACCCGAGGAGCAGAGCCGAGACACCGGTAAAAAAAACAACAACATGTCCGCAGGGTGGAGAGCGAGTGTGGAGGAGCGGCTCAGTGCGAGGGCCCAGGACATACGTGCGCTGTTTGAGGACACAGTAGCGGACTTTGAGGAGGAGCTGCGCCGCGTCAAACGGGAGAACCAGCGGCTACAGCGGCTCTTGGACTCGGCCCTGAGCGCCCTGAGCCCGAGGGTCCTGCTCGTCACGGCCGGTCAGTCTAAATATGGATCCTATTTTTTGTCCATGGTTGTTAAAAAAGTGTGAAAAACGCATCTGATGTAGAAAACAGCGCGTTAGAAACGTGCGCCGTGGATATAACGGCAGAAGAACCAGTACGACTTCAAATATTGACGAAAACATATTTACAACTTCATGGACAGAAAAGACCCCCCTCCCCCCTTAAAGTAGAAGACTACAGACAAGTTCACAGTGAGTGCGTATACATGCACATCAATAACCCGGTTATGATCGGCTTTTTTGAGTATCCCGGTTTCAGTATTCCGGTTATTAGAAACCGGGTTACTGTAGCTGGTTTATTCCGATAATAACCGGGTTACTTGTGGCATGTAAACGCAGTACCCCGGTTACTGCAACATAAAGTTGAGTGCGCATGCGTCCAAAAGACACTTTCCAGCCTTTCGCCACAACAGTAGTGACATAAATTGACCAACATAAAAAAGTGACCAAACGAGTGAAATGACTGTAAAATTAAGAGCTGCGCTAAAAATGCACACGTACAATCTGCACTCGTGTGATCACTGAAAAGCTAAAACATGAACTATCTCCTATACTCTATATGCACGAACACACTTACCATCATTAGCGCCTCTTCTGTCACAGAAATAACACACATAATCCACAGAGTCGTGTCATTTAGTCCAAAAGAAACTGATCACATCAGCGGCGCAAGGAGCGAGTTGTTTTTATCGCCGCTAACAGTTTATGCTAATTAGCCAAACGGTCTTAAGTTTCGTTTCTGTAAAACATAAACAAATGTGATCACAGCTGAATTATATAATCAAACGGGCTGATGTGGCTCAATAGTCTTTATGGTTTATATGTTGTAAAGTTGAGTTTATTTATGCAGAAGATTTTAATGAAGAATCTGCACAGTGGATTGTGGGAAATCTCGTAGCTCCTTAGCTTCTTATGCTAAAGGAGCTCACGGTTTGTATTTTTCCTGGTTTATGAAATTGCTTTAAGTTAATTTTTGCGCCTGCGCATTTGTAAGATTATGTCAAGAAACCGGGATACTCCATTTGATCATGTACACGCGGATATGAGTGTCCCGGTTTCTCAGTGCGCATGTAAACGCAGTAACCGGAATACTGACATAACCGGGATATGGCTAATAACCGGGTATACGCACTCAGTGAGTGTGTTTACATGCACATCAGTATCCCGCAAAAATTAACTTAATTTAATTAAATTAAATAAACAATTAAACCCCACATTAAAATGTTCTGCATAAATAAACTCAACTTTACAACATATAAACCATAACCACTATAGAACCACATCAGCCTGTTTGATCATGTAATTCAGCTTTGATCACATTTGTTTACGTTTTACAGAAACGAAACTTAAGACCGCAAGGCTAATTAGCATAAACTGTTAGTGCTGATAAAAACAGTTCGCTCCTTGTGCGCTGATGCAGTTCAGCTTCTGTCGGACTAAAGGACACGACCCAGTGGATTATGTGTGTTGTTTTTGTGACAGAAGAGGTGCTGATGATGTTAAGTGTGTTCTGTGCGTGTATCCTACAGGAGATAGTTCATGTTTTAGCTTTTCAGCGATCATACGTGTGCAGATTGTACGTGTGCAGGTTTAGTTCACTCATGTATGGTCACTTTATTACGACGGAGTATAAGGGTCAGATAAAAAAAAAAATTAAATGCTGGCACTACGAGAATAAAGTCGTAACATTTCAACATTAAATTCGTAATACTATGAGAATAAAGTCGAAGCCAGAAAAAGTCGTAATTTGACGAGAATAAAGTCATATTTTTAGAAGAATAAAGTAGTAATTTTATGAGAATAAAGTCGTAGTCAAAATAAAGTGATAATATTATGAGAATATCGGCTGCTTGGAAAGTCTGAACGAGTGGAGAATGGAAAATTTGGAGCATTTGGTAAAGGAGAAAAATCTGTGTATCATTCGTTCATTCGACTGAACAAGGACTGAATCAGGACTAAATCAGGTCCGGAACCAAACCAGAAAGACCAGGATTGAGACCAGGACCAGACCAGGACTGAAAATGATTTAGTCCTGGTTTAGTCCTGGTTTAAGTCACGGAAATGGGAAATGGCGTTTCCGTGACTTTAAAATGCGATGCGGGACTATTGCGCCACATACGGACTGAACCAGAACTAAACCAGGACTGAACCAGTTCTGAATCGGGACTAAACGAGGACTAAACCGTTTTCAGTCCTGGTCTGGTCCCGGTCTCAGTCCCAGTCTCAGTCCTGTTCCTGTTCCCGGTCTCAATCTTGGTCTCAGTCCTGGTCTGGTCTCAGACCTCGTTTAGTCCTGGTTTAGTCCTGGTTTAGTCCTGGTTCAGTCCCGAGGCGCAAATAATGAAGAAAATTGTTGTTCGTTTTCTTATTTTTGGTTTTATATTGAAAAACCAGGTTCTTCTTCTGCCGCATTTTTCACTTTGACTTTGATTTTATTACGACTTCATTCTCGTAACATTATAACTTTATTCTCATAATATTACGACTTTAATGTCGAAATGTTATAACTTTATTCTCGTAGCTCCAGCAAGTTTTTTTTTTTATCTGACCCTTATACTCCGTCGTACTTTATTTATGTTGGTCACGTTATTTATATTTATCAATTTATTTATATCGCTACTGTTGCGGGGAAAAGACTGGAAAATGTTCATGTCCCAAGACTGCATGTGTATGTGTACGTGTGTATTAACTTGTCTCCTGCAGCTGCCCAGCCCCCCTCTCTGAGCCCTGATCTGACTCAAAACATGAAACAAGAGCAAAACATCAAACAGGAGGAGGAACAGCTGCAAGTGTGAGTCTCAGACACTTTCAAACTGCAATTCTTTATTTGGTTATTTCTTTCATTATTCATTTCTTCATTTCACGTCCACAGAGAGGACACACAGGAAGAGGAAAACAGAGCAGAGACACACGTCCACAGAGAGGACACACAGGAAGAGGAAAACAGAGCAGAGACACACGTCCACAGAGAGGACACACAGGAAGAGGAAAACAGAGCAGAGACACACGTCCACTCGGAGACCGAAGGAGAGACAGAACACTCTTCTGACACTGACAGTGATGAAGACTGGAGAGCTCCACCCAGCTGTTCACACATGGACACAGGCGCTGACGAAGACGAGTCTGCGCCAGAGACCAGAGCCACCGTGAACACTGGAGACACGACAGGAACCGGAGAAGGAGCTGAGGGCAAGAAACACAAGTGCTCTGTTTGTAAAGAGAGATTTGGGTCTAAATATAAACTACAAATACACCGCAGAGTTCACACAGGAGAAGAACCTTTCGGCTGTTCAGTCTGTAAGAAAACGTTATCTGTAAAATATCATCTCGAAACACACATGAGGACACACACAGGGGAGAAACCGTTCGGCTGTTCAGTCTGTAAGAAAACGTTTTCTGTAAAATATAATCTCGAAACACACATGAGGACACACACAGGGGAGAAACCGTTCGGCTGTTCAGTCTGTAATAAAGAGTTTGCTGATAGATCTGCTCACATAAGACATATGAGGACACACACAGGGGAGAAACCGTTCGGCTGTTCAGTCTGTAATAAAGAGTTTGCTAATAGATCTACTCACAAAAGACATATGAGGACACACACAGGGGAGAAACCGTTCAGCTGTTCAGTCTGTAATAAAGAGTTTGCTGATAGAGCTGCTCACATAAGACATATGAGGACACACACAGGGGAGAAACCGTTCGGCTGTTCAGTCTGTAATAAAGAGTTTCCTGATAGATCTGCTCACAAAAGACATATGAGGACACACACAGGGGAGAAACCGTTCAGCTGTTCAGTCTGTAATAAAGAGTTTGCTGATAGATCTACTCACAAAAAACACACGAGGACCCACAATAGACCGCATATCTAACGCTCTACCCTCCGCTTTCCAAAAATAATCCTATTTGTAATATAGAGGCTGGCTTCGTTTAAATCTGCTTTTTATTTGTTTATTATTGCAGTTCGTGTGTTTGTCAGTTTATTGTACATTTTCAAGAGTTTTTAGGGATAAACCCGCTGTTGTGTGAGTTATAAGTTATCGTTTCTTGTCCAGTTTTTTCTCCAAAAATATATCGTATTTCAAAATGTGTAATCCTTTTCTACTGTTCTCCATTTCAAAATCACTTAAGTTTTTTTCTTCCAATATATTACTTAATTTTGTTCTTTTTATTCATGCATTATATTATTTTTGAATTTGAATGTCTGTAAAATGAATCTGTATATATGTAAGAAATAATAAACCTAATCTTCAACATTACCAAGTGCAGCCACAGAGGGCGCTGTTGTCTAAAAAAAAAATTTAACTCAAAATAAATGTTCATTACTGGAGTTCCGATTTAAACACATTTGTATCCTGACGTGTTAACTCCAAAATCACCATTAGGCCCTATTTGTATTAAATGTTAGTTGTAGTTTCTGTATTACAAGAAATAATTTAGTGTATGAGTTTGAATTTGAAACATCAGAGTTAGAAAAAAAACAATTCAAACATTCAAACTTCAACAATTCAGAATCTGATGGGCGCAAATTATCTTCCACACGTGTCACTTGGATCTGAGGCAGGTCAAATGTCTCTAGTCAATCTGCAGATCCCAAACAACCGAAACACTGAAAGATGAAAAATGAAAAACGCAGAGGACACATTTCTCTTCGGGGACGATTTAACTCGACCGACTAAAACCAACCACACAGGTCATAATGTTCACAAGCAGCTTTTATTGTCAACATAACCGCACAAACGTCAGTAGTTCTGCAACAGCAAATAAAACAATAAATTAACATGATAAACTTAAAAAAAAAAAAAAAAAACAGATCCAATGTCTCTAGAAATGTGGCGTGTGGGGCCTTCAGGCTCCTCCCTCAGTGTCCTGTTCAGGAGCTCTTCTCGAAGGCTTCGGGAGGTCCAGGTTCAGCCGGTGCTCTTGAACTCGCCGCTCTCGGTGATGGACAGTTTGCTGGGGCTGGTGGGGGACAGGCCGTTGCGCAGGTTGGCCGTGGTGTAGCGCTCTTTGACCTGGGTTAAAGCCGAGATGAGGCGGGAGTTCGCCGCGTCCAGAGAGAGGATCCGCTTCTCCTGATGGACACAAGATGGACGAGAGGTTAGTTTAGGGTTTATTTTTTTATATATATCGTATTTTTCTGATGATGTCACTCTTTTTTTCATGGTTTGGGTGTTTCCTGCAACTCATATATTAAAATGTTCACACTGAAGCGGCGAGAGGCTCTAGTCTTGTGTGTCAGTTCGGGATGGGCATTCGATGAAATTTTCTTAATCGATCGTCGGAGGAATTAACGATCGATTATCGATTAATCATTAACGTTTTCATATTAAAATGATCATCATTATTATTACTATCTGCACTACTAATCTGCATAAATAAATTCAACTTTACGACATATAAACCGTAACGACTCTAGAGCCACATCAGCCCGTTTGACATTATAATGTGTTTAATTCAGTTTTGCGCAACTCTCACAGAAACGAAACTTAAAACCGCATTGCTAAATTGCATAAACTAAGCGAAGATAAAACTACAGCTCTTGAGTCGCTGATGTGGTTCAACTTCTGTCGGGTTTAAAGACACGACTCAGTGGAATACAGGTTAGTGTGACCAGATTTGCGTTTGTCAAAACCAGGACACCGTACGGGGGGAGGGAGGTGGGGCCTCGTCATCGACATTGTGCGATTCTCACCTGGCAAAACTTTTTCCCACTGGACACCAAAACATATGTGCTGCTTTATACACTGTGCACATGGATTCACACTTGTGCCGAACGCAACGGAAAGCGTGGAATTTCTTGTACAAATCATCGTTAAACACGCATTTGTGCTTTGGTACGTTGCAGACTGACCGAATGTTTGTGTCTCGCTCCTTCTAAGTGCAGAGAGACACATGTCCAGACCCCCGTTTGTCCCCGGACACGGACGTTTGGTCTCCCTACACTACGCACAGCAACCTACGTTCTGTTTGTCGATTAAAAATGAACATAATCGATGAAATTCTTAATGATCAATTATCGATTAATCATGCCCATCCCTAGTGTCAGTATCTGCTGCTCCTGTTCCTCCTGTACCACTGTCACTTGGCTCTACTGCGCATGTCTCCTGCAGAAAGAGCCTCTGTCCTGTCTGTTTCATGTCAGTCGATCGCACCATTACTTCTGTATCACTGAACATTTAACATTTAAACAAACTTATAAAGACGACTGAGAAGACTGAACACAAATGCCCCCAAAAAGAAAATCATATTTTGCAGATTACAAACTGTGAGTAGTGAAATCTGCAGCTGAAAACGATAATCGAGCAGCAGAAAGAAAGTTCAGAGTGAGAGACCCACGGAGAGCTCCGCACCTCACGGAGGTAAGCGTGGCCATCACTCGATCGCGCAGCACTTTAGAATCACACTGTTAGCAATCGAACATTTATGTAAATTTGGCTGAAAACATTCTGTACTGTACAGGAGACACGACAGGGAAGAGACTGATTGACAATGGTCTACAATCCCTTAGCCAATCAGGACGCAGGGAGAGGAACACAATATGCGTTCATAGGCTGTATAAAAGAAGCACGCAAAATTGCAAAAAATAAATAAATAAGCGAAACAGCGTCTTGCGGTTTTGAGGGACAACTGTATCTAAAATATCGAAAAAAAAGGTGTGAGGAGGTGTGTCTAACGTCTGACCGGTCGTGTAGAAGCAGCACCCCCTGTGGACAGAGAGTGGTACAACAGCTGATTGGGCATTAATATCTAAACCCTGTACAGCAGTGTTTCCCAAAGACTGGATCGCGACCCTCACGTTGGTCCCAAGAGATTTTTTTGGGGGTCGCCTTGTCACGATTTGCTTTTGTGTCTTCAATATACAGTTGTGACACTGATTTGCGTGCTGCACTCTCCTCCTCGTTTAATGTCCAAACAGGCGACTTATGGAACCTTAAATGACTCTTTTTCATTATTTAAAACTACTTGAGTCATACTAATTGTTCAGTCACTCAGTCAACAATAAAATATCCTCATTAATGTTCAGTAAGGCTCAAATCCACCTTTATTTTGTGATTTATGAATAATGTCTATTGACTTTGGTCACGAAGTTTTGTGACTTAAAATATGGGTAAAGTTTGAGAAACACTGGTGTAAAGTTTTACCTGAGCGTCTATGATCTTCTGCTTGGCCTCTATGACGGCCTGCATCTCTGCATGGTCCCTGCGGAGCTCCTCCTCCACCGCCATCAGCCTGCACATGCACACACACAAACACACACACACACACACATGAACGATGGGAAATACTCTCACAGCACAATATAAACTGGTCAAATGCATCAGTTAACCCACAGAACAGACGTGGGCATTGTCCAGCTCCTGGTCGACTCTGACCGGCCTGTTTAAGCTCATTTGGAATTACAAAATAAACATATATCATTTTCCTCATGCCAGGACTAAAGCTGCATTGCGTTTATTTTAGATGTTTTTTTAATTAAATTTTTTATAAGACAACCTCACTTTTTCATTGCTTAGTTGAGGTGTAACGGTACATGTATTTGTGCTGAACCGTTTCAGTCCAGGACGTTCGGCGCAGGTCTGTGCACGACTGAGTTTGCTCAATTCGTGTGTGTTTACATTTCGCCACTACATGTGCAGCTACATGGAAGGCTCAACTCTTTAATATTCATGAGGGAACTCGTCCGTGATTGGGGTGGCAGTGTTTCCCGCAGCGATTTATAGTTAGGGCGACCACCTTGACAACAATTGCCTCCCGTCTTGACTACGGTATGTTTTTGAAGAGGCAACAACACCATAACAAGACTTAAAGCTCAATTCTGTGTACCGTATTTTTTGGACTATATGTCAGACTTTTTTTCATGGTTTGGGTGTTTCCTGCGACTTGTATCTTAAAATTTTCACACTGAAGCGTCGAGAGGTTCTAGTCTTGTGTGTCAGTATCTGCTGCTCTTGTTCCTCCTGTACCACTGTCACTTGGCTCTACTGCGCATGTCTCCTGCATGTGCCCTTCTGCAAATAGCGAAATCTGCAGCCGAAAACGGTAATCGAGCAACAGAAAGAAAGTTTGGACTGAGCCAGAAACCTGTGAGGGACTGGCAGAGGGAGGATGCACCATGAAACTTTCCTGAAGTCACTGGATGGATGGACAAAGTCTGGACTTCAGTGACACCGAAACCATCCTGTCGGGATTCAGAAACGCTGGAATAATGAAACCAAAAAGTGCGACTTTGTGTGTTTTTTTTTCTTCTTCATTACGCATTTTTTGGCTGGTGCAACTTATACTCTGGAGCAAATTATAGTCCAAAAAATAAGGTAATAAAGGACCTTTAACTGTTCACTGTTTTTCTACTGTTGACTTAATTTTCTTGTTTTCGATGTCAGGTACAAACTAAATATTTTGCAGACGTGTAGAGTTATATTTGTTATTAAACCGTAGCAACTCTTTCACATTTTAGTTGTGTTTTGAGCTTTTACAGAAGATAATGTCATTAATGCCCCTGAAAGAGCCAGAGCGGCGTGAGGGCGGCTCTAACCTGCACATGACGCTCTTCATCTGCCCGTCCTTCTCCTGCGTCTGCCTCCTCAGCTGCTCCTGGCTCTCCTCCAGCCTGCTCTGGTACTCGCTCAGGACTGTGTGCATGTGCTGCTCCTGGGCCAGCAGGCGGCGCTCATACTCCTCCAGACGCCTGCCGGAGAGACGCAGGCGCTCCTTCAGAGAGGAGATCTCCAGCTCGTACTGCAGAGAGAGAGAGAGAGAGACGGGCACATACACACATTTACACAAACGGCAGCAAAGGCAAAGGGAATACACACATTTAAACACATCATGTTTCAGTGATTGTACACAGAAAAATGGATGCGCGCAATATTTGTGACTTTACAAATCCACGAGAAACCATCTTGGCCCCAGCTGGTGTGATGGGGCCCGACAGGTGGAGCGCAATTTAGGTTTGTGTGGAAGCCAAAGATGAAGCGCCCGAACAAACCAAAACAAACATGGCGACGCCGACAGACGCACTTCAGCCGATTTCAGTTTATGAAAAACATGCAGAAGTAAGAGCTTTGTAACTACGCGCTTGTCTCTCAACTGGCTATAACAAAAGTTAGATTTTTAGTCCTGGTTTAGATCTAGTTTAGACCTGATTTTAGTCCTGGTTTAGTCCTGGTTTAGACCTGGTTTAGATCTAGTTTTGACCTGATTTAGATCTACCTTAGGCCTGGTTTTAGTCCTGGTTTAGATTTAGTTTAGATCTGGTTTTAGTCCTGGTTTAAGTCTTAATTTAGTCCTGGTTTAGTCCTAGTTTTAGTGCTAGTTTAGTTCTTGTTTAGTCCTGGTTTTAGTTCTAGTTTAGTCCTGGTTTAGTCCTGGTTTTAGTCCTGGTTTAGTCCTGGTTTTAGTCCTGGTTTAGTCCTGGTTTTAGTGCTAGTTTTAGTGCTAGTTTAGTTCTTGTTTAGTCCTGGTTTAGTCCTGGTTTTAGTTCTAGTTTAGTCCTGGTTTTAGTCCTGGTTTAGTCCTGGTTTTAGTCCTGGTTTAGTCCTGGTTTTAGTGCTAGTTTAGTTCTAGTTTAGTTCTTGTTTAATCCTGGTTTTAGTCCTGGTTTTAGTCCTGGTTTTAGTCCTGGTTTAGCCCAAAATGTGAAAACAGGAAAATCCCGCTGTGTAATCCATTTATTTCAACAAAGTAACTGTAATCCAATTACCACTCACTGAAACTGTAACTGTAACTAAATACATTTACTCATCATTTGTACTCTGATTACGTAACTCTGGTACATGTAATCTGTTACTCCCCAACACTGCAGGTGGAGAACAATTTAGGTTTGTGTGGAAGTCAAAGATGAAGCGCTCAAACAAACCAAAACAAACATGGCGACGCCAACAGACGCACTTCAGCCGATTTCAGTTTATGAAAAACATGCAGAAGTAAGAGCTTTGTAACTATGCGCTTGTCTCTCAACTGGCTATAACAAAAGTTAGATTTTTCGGTTTGTTCTGCTGTTATGACATTTCTACCAATCAGATTCAAATAGCGCCGGTCGCCATGATGCTCCGTGTTTTCTGATCTCTTTCAATGAGCCGCTCAGACTGACCATGTGTAGAAATCAGTTCAGAGTGAACCACAGATCTGGTGTGAGCCACGTTAAGACACATAACACAGGACACAGGCTCTTGGCACTTATGTTATCACTAAAATTTCAATCTAGGGAATAGACTCCTTTAATTTCCAGTTGCATCACTGTATGGGGCAGAAGCTGCACTGACCACAACAGGAGAGCCCTGCATCGCATAGTGAACACAGCCTGGAAGATCACTGGTGCACCATGATCTGGCCATACCGGTTTGTAAAAGTCTGATCCCGTCAGATCTCAGAAGCTAAGCAGGCTGGGCCTGGGTAGGACTTGGATGGGAGAGCGCTAGGAATTCCAGGTGCCACAGGAGGCGCCAGTGGCAAAAAACTGTCGTTGTGTCCTTAGGCAAGACACTTCACCCACACTGCCTAGTATGAAAATGGTGTGAGCTTGAGTGATGGTGGTGGTCGGAGGGGCCGATGGCGCAGATTGGCAGCCTCGCTTCCATCAGTCTGCCCCAGGGCAGCTGTGGCTACAGTAGTAGTTTACCACCACTGAACTGTAATGCGCTTTGGGTATCTTGAAAGGTGCTATATAAATGCAATCAATCAATCAATCACCACTCCCCTAGCTGGACTCAACCACCAGTTTCACTTCGTGGAAACCGTCTGACCTTGCAGCATTAGGATTCGTTCGCTCGACGGTAGGTGGGTACTTTTTTTATTTAACCAATCGCTGCTATTTGGTCGTGACGTATGTAATGCACCAACTCCCGTAGGAAGAAGGACAATAACGTCTTTCCCCTTGATAAAATTCACCAAACATTCTCTTTGTTCCGGCTTTAAATCCTCGATCTCGGGAGTCGTTGCCAACACAGAATGTCTGTCTTCGTCATCTGGACAGGGACCCAGACAGGGACTTGAGTTTGACGTCACGGCTTCATAGCTCTTCGCTGATCGGACGGTGCGCAGTCTACAACTTCCAGGGTTCGTGCAAACCGTCTAGTGTATTCTAATTCCTGATCTAGTCGCTGGAGAGAAATGAAATTGAGTGGAGGCACTAGACGGCATCAGCCTGGCTACGAATCTGTGTCTCCCCACTTGAGCTTTTACATTTATTTTTATTTATTTATACGCTTGGAACACTTTTTATTTAGACAAGAGAATGTGATTTTCAACATTAAACCATAGATTTACTTTCTATTCTATCATGTGGCCTTATATCTGTGTAATCCCTCAGTGCTCCAGCGAACACACATTTTGAGGCTAAATAAACTGTCACAGAGAAGTACTGTAATAAAGGATAATATGGAAACGACTTGATGATGATGACGAGTATACAGTTTCAGTACTAGTTTTAGTATCAGTTGGGGTTGTCAAGTCGGTTTGACAACTCCCCTTGGCACAAAACCAAGAATGTACATTATGTTTCAATAAACACTGTGTAATAATTTGAAGTATTTTAAATGGGACAAAGCTCCAAGAAGAACTGTGTATGTAATTGTATTTTGTATAATTGTATATCAGTTTAAAAAGAATGACTGACTTTAAACACCCTGTACATGATTTTCTTTTCCACGTATTTGAGCAAAATGTGTCTTGACCCAGTACAGATATATTGTATAACTGGGCCCGGTCAAGCAGAAGTAAACAGCAAGGCCAAAAATTCTATTTAATGCATCTGATATAAAAATGTATTGAACAGATACATATGTGCTCTAGTTTATGAAACTGTTGACCTTTTTTCTGTACCATTTTTGGTTCTAAAGTTACATACGTTTTAAACAGACCATGTATGAAACATGGAACAAAAATTATTTCCTGCAAATCATGTAAATAAATGGATGTATTTCATCATATCTTGTGTTATTTGATCTTTGAACTGTTGATGAAGGTACATGATTTTTCAAAAAAAAATTATTTAAAATGATAAAAATTTGCTTGGAAGGACTGACATATTTTATAGAAATAGTTTCCTTTCATTCTGAAGTAATATTAAAGTATTTGGAAGAAAAAAGCAACAAATGATGTAAAATCATGCACCTTCTACTTGCTGCACAATTTTTCCTCCGTTACTTTTCCCTCTGTTAGGTTTTTCAACCTAATCTTGTACCATATGGTAGAAAACTATATGAAGCAAATATTCAAACCAGTTTGTTAAGGATATGTAAGTGAGAACCTCTAGTTATCACTGTTTGTATTTATTGCCCAAAAAGTGCTGCATATTTCATTCCCTCCGTTACCAACATGAGTTTTTAAATTTTTTGTCAACAACTTGAAAGAATATCACAGGTTTAACTTGACCCTGTTGGAGTGTAACTCTTTCCTACATTCTGATACTTTACTTATTTCAATAGTCCCTCTAGTTTCTGAATAAGAGACATTTGAATGTAAAAAATCTGCCTGTTTCCCTCCGTTACCACTTGACCGGACCCATAAGCGTTTTATTGTGTGATAATCAGGAAGTGCACTGTTGGCATGCTAGTTCTGCTCTGGTTTCTGAAAGTGAAAAGTAAAATCACGGTGAATAATTAGGACGCTCTGAATGCATAAGGTGAGTGAGGAATAACTTTGGCCCACTGCAAACTGTTTTAAATGAACTGCTTCTGTTTTTTCATGTTTAAATTGGTAAAAATGTCGTGGAAAAACAAAACATCTGCTGTTTGCCGTCGGATACGTTCAGTGCAGTGATCCTTCAGATGTTACAGCTCCGACAGAAAGCCCACCTTGTCTGACGCGCTGTGCTCCGGGCTCCTCCCCTCCTCCTCCTCGCTCTCCTCGTACTGCCCGTTGTTCAGGACCCAGGCGGCTGTGCGGTCCACCGGGGACATCGCCACGGCAACAGGCTCCACGGGAGACACCTCAAAAAACACAACAAACGTCACTCCTCTGTCCTTGAGCGGCGACGGAGACTGAAGCTTTAACAAAAGACGAGCGCTGACTCTCTACGACTCGTAAAAAGAAACAACACACTGGTTTAAAATGAGGGGAACATTTCTGTAAAGGATTATTGTGAGTTTGACTTCATTTATAAACCCCCAAAACATTTAATAGACGATCTTGGAATATAAAACTAACTGGATGTGTCCACTATTTCAGTCCCAGAGAACATTCAAAAACTGTTCTGCACAAATGAATTCAAAAACAATCTGACAGGTGAAATGAATTTAAACAACAATTCTAAACTATGTTTTGTTGTTCTGCAAAATGACCAAATAAACTACTGTACAACTACTACTACTACTACTCCAACAACAACTACTACTACTACTACAACTACTCCAACTCCAAAAAACAACTACTATTACTACTACAACTACTCCAAAAACAACTACTATTACAACTACTACTACTACTACAACTACTACTACATCTACTACTACTACTCCAAAAACAACTACTATTACAACTACTACTACTACTACAACTACTACTACAACAACAACTACTACTACTACTACTACTACTACTACTACTACTACTACTACTACTACTACTACTACTACTACTACTACTACTACTACTACTACTCTTCCAACTCCAAAAACAACTACTATTACAACTACTACTACTACTACAACTACTACTACTCCTCCAACTCCAAAAACAACTGCTACTACAACCACTACTACTACAACAACTGCAACAACTACTACAGCAACTGCTACTACAAGTACTACTACGACAATTACTACTCCTACAACAATTACTACTACTACAACCACTACTACAACAACTACTACTACTACAACAACTACAACAGCTACAACTACAACTACTACTACAGCGACTACAACAACTACTAATACAACAACAATTATTAATACAACAACTACTACTACTACTACTACTACTACTACTACTACTACTACTACTACTACTACTACTACTACAACAAAAACAACAACAACTACTACTACTACAACAAAAACAACAACAACTACTCCAACAACTACTACTACTACTACTACAACAACAACAACAACTACTACTACTACAACAAAAACAACAACAACTACTCCAACAACTACTACTACTACTACTACTACAACTACTCCAACAACTACTACTACTACAACAAAAACAACAACTACTACTACAAAAACAACAACAACTACTACAACAACAACTACGACTACTACTACTACTACAACAACTGCAACTACTACTACAACAACTATTATTACAAGTACTACTGCGACAACTACTACTACTACTACAACTACTACTACTACTCCGACCACTACTACAACAACTACAAACTACAGGTACTACTACAACAACTACAAGTACTACTACAACTACTACTCCAACTACTACTACTACAACTACTGCTGCAAGAACAACTACAACTACTTCTACAACTACTACTTCAACAACTACTACAACAACTCCTCCAACAACTACTACTATAATTACTGTAACAAGTACTACAATTACTATAACATGTAAACATAGCGTCTGAGATGTTTTCTTGTGATTTCAGTGAGATCATATCGGAGCGTACACCTCTCCGTCCGTCCATGCGCCCCCTGCTGGCTCACCTGCTGCACTGCTTTGCCTCTGTGCGGGGCTGTGCTGTCGCTGGGGCAGGGCGGCTGTGGGGGGTTCGGGACAGGTCCAGGTCCGGGTCCGGGTCCGGGTCCGGGTCCAGGTCCGGGTCCAGGTGCTGTGGGTTCTGTGTTAGCGCTGCTGCTGCTTCTTAAGGAGGCACTGTGAGGCAGGGACTTGGGCGTGCGGGAGCCTCCTCTGCTCTGCTGCTCCACCTTAAAACAACGCAGGACTTTAGTAGTACTTTAAAGATCCTATGTTATATGAAATGGACTCTGGTGAGCTTTAAGCCGTGTTTAAAGCTGTTACTTCCTCAAAAACACACCTGGATTTTGTGTTTGTTTCATTCACACATGTCTGAGTAACGATTTAGAATTAGTCTGTCTACTTCTCCTTTTGTTCAATAGAGATTCACAATTCCAGAGCTGAAATTATCCAAATGATTCTGGTGAAACTGGAGCATTTCCTGTATTACCACACGAGAGCGATGGGAAAATTCTGTCTCATCCCACCCAATATCACATTACATCACAAAGTGGAAAAGAGTGTTCAGGGTTCCCACACAACTTCAAACATTTCCCATGACTTTTTCATGACCTAAAGTGAATTATGAACTTTACGGCACCTACATGTGTAGAATTTAGTATATTTTTAGGGCTGAATATGAAATGTTAACACTTTCCATAAGGGTTGTCTTGATCCAATCATGTGACTGCAGACTCGATCTGGACTCGGACGTTATGTTCCGATCAGGTATTGGATAAATAAAAACAACGCCTGTTGTACAAGCGGCACACTCAGACTTGGACTTTTGGGCCGTGCCGTGCTCGGGCGCCGTTTTTATTTGGTAAGATTTTATATTATTTGGAGATCACAGACGAGTCTAAATGTTTCAAATGTAATTCACAGGCTTCCATATCATATCAAATATACAAACTCTAGATTGCGAGTCAAGTCTCAGGGTCTGATTTGATTCCTGTTTTGTCCAGTTCATTAAGTTTACTAAAGGGGGGTTCACACCAGAGCATCGAGATTCTATGTAAAGACTATGTGGACGTGCGTCTAGGGAGTCTGGTGTTTTTGCGGCGTGTCTTCAGGGATCAGCGTGGCGCGAATCTGGCGTCATTTTGGCGTCTCTAGACACGTGTCCAAGGCAGAAAGTTGTATATTTTCAGGAAGATACTACACATTGAAATCAATACAAATCTGATCCCCTCACACATTTTGGATGTTATTTTTTGCTCTTTGTTCATTTCATAATGTTTTATAGAAGTGTCAGATCGGGACCCAGTATCAGCAGATTCTCAAAATCACATGACTGGGACTCGGGGGCAAAAAAATGTTATCGGAACATCCCAACTTTCCACTTACCTTATGGTTTGGTATTATAGTTTTTTAACATTTCAAAATACTGTCAGTGCATTAAATATTTATTTAATAGCCTCATGATAACTTAACAAAACACTGTAGTTGCGTGAAAGAGATTCTAAAATTCCATGACTTTTCCAAAGTTTTCATTCAATTTACAAAATTACATGGGCCTGGAAAATGACATTTTCAATTCCCATGACTTTTTCAGGATTTCCACGACCGTAGGAACCCTGGTTATCAATGTTAAACGTGTGTATAAAAAAAAGACACAACTCCAGGTTTGTTCTTTGATGAGGAAACATTATAACAGAGACGGGGACTTTAACAGAGCAAAGTGTCGTGATTGTGAGCAGCACTGACCTTGATGATGTGTGCGGTGCCGGCCGTGGTGCTCTGTCGGGGGATGGCCACAGCGGTCGACAGGGGGGTGTCTGGGGCAGGGGCGGCCGCTCTGGGGGTGGAGGCCTGGCTGTGAGCTCCGGCCTGGCTGCCCGTCTCGTCCCAGGGGCTGTGCTGTGAGCTCTGGGTGCTCAGGTTGTCGGAGCTGGAGTGAGGGGGGCTGGTGCGGTGGGACAGGTTGGACAGGTGGTACACGGGGTTCTGGAAGGACAGGGCCTGGAGACTGCGCTGCTGGCTCAGAGAGGGCTGCAGGGGGCGCCGCACCTGAACAACACACACACAGACTTAATTACCTGTACATAGTTTGTAACGATACCTGACGTGGACTAAATAGGGGTGTAACTGTACATGTATTCTGTACAGGACGTTCAGTTTGGTGCAGGTCTGTGCATGACTGAATTTTTGCGCAATTTGTGTGTGTTTACATTCCACCACGACATGTGCAGCTACACGGAGGCTCGGCTCTTTAATATTCATGAGGGAACTCGTCCGTGATTGGGGTGGCAGTGTTTCTCGCAGCGCTTTATAGTTTAAGTGACCGCTTTGACAACAATTGCCCCCCGCCTTGACTACGTCCCTCCGAACCACATGAATCCTCACAAAACTACGACCAACACGCCGCGGTTGTCACTTTCATATATTTGTTGCTTATTTGAGAATATTTAATTTAACAGCACTTTGCATTTATTTTATTTTTTATGTGTATAATGTTTGTATAATGTTAAAAACAAATGTAAGCAATAAAAATATCTGACGTCATCCAGCATCCAGCAGCAACATTTGTGTTTAGTTTATGCTGTGGCAGTTCATTTGTGTTAGTATATTTCTAAAGTTTGTATTATTATATAAAATATGAAAGAAAAACAAGTTAGTAAAGACTGATACAGACTTTTCCACAGTCTGAGATCATTTCTCTTCGCTGGTTTTGTTAAAGCCACTGTCGTCAGGTGAACAGAAACGACGTCATATAATTTCCGCACAAAATAATGATTAATAAGTGCAAAACAAGCACAAACGAAATACAAACATTCTGTATAATTTTCTGGCTGTTTTGAGGTTATTTAACATTTTGAGGGGCTGGATCGGCCCAAAATAAAACTGCTGATATCTTAAGAACCATAATCACACAAACAAAATTTTTGCAGCACAAAACAGCACAAACGAAGCACAAACGATTGACAAAATTTTGGGTCGTTTTAGAGCATTTTTAAGCTTTCTGGAGGGCTGGTTGACCCCAATTTAACCTATAAAAATTGTTAAAAATATAATCATCTAAAACTAAAGCAGCACAAATAAAACTTCTTGCAGCACCAAACAAAGCACAAACTGATTGACGTAGTTTTTTGTAGGTTTGAGTTTGATCGGGGGCCAACTCTACACAGGTCTTCTACAGCAAAGGTGTCAAACATAAGGCCCGGTGGCCAGATCCGGCCCTCCAAGACCTTTAATGTGGCCCTTCGGTGATTTTCTACTAAAATATTTTAATTATATTTTCTATTAAAATATTGGTAATTTTCTGCATCGCTTAGCATAGCAGTGTCTTTCCAAACGCTCTTAAAGGACGATCGTTTTGACTGTTGACCGTGACACCCTCATCAGAAAAATGTCCAACATGAGAAAAGTGGAGCCGAGTGCAGGATTTTCCAACAAAAATTGACTTAATGTTAAAAATTTGTGTTGAAATTGAATTTTTCTTAAAGTTTCAGGTTGTTCATAATATTATAATAATAAGAAAGAGTTCATCAATTAAAAAAGATTTCTGTAATAGATTTGTGTTTCTCTGCACAAATATTTGAACTTATTGTTATTTTTGGGGTTTATATGACATGAGTTTTCTGATCTGGCCCCTTTGGGATCCAAGTCGGTTGGATACGGCCCCCGGACCAAAATGAGTTTGACACCCGTGTTCTAGATGAATCAGTGGTCTCCTTTATCTAACCACGACGACGCCTCATGACGTCTCACCTGCGGCGCGCTCTGAGGCTGGGCGTCTCGAGGGGGCGTGGCTTTGGTCTGCTGCGGGGGGAGAGGCGTGGAGTAGCTCGCGGTGGGCGGGGCTCCCACCGAGGTCTGCGAGGGCACCCTGTGGACGCGGGAGCCGTGCTGTGCTTCCTGGAGATCCACCAACGAGACGCTGCGCCCGTTGGGGAGCGGGACCACGCCCTCCATGAACTCAGCGCCTGATAAAACGCTGTGCACGTCACTGCGAAGAGACACACGAGGGAAAAAGGGTAGAAAAGGGAACATGGTGATTGAAACAGGTTATGTCTACGTAGTTAATACCCCACAGAAGTAAAATACCACACCAATCCACTCAAGTCAAGCCAAAATGTACTGAAAGTTGCACTAAATAACGTTTCTGGTGGAGGATGAGCCACCCGTTTGTCTTTTATTTTATTTATTTAATGATGAGATGTTTTTGTTTTGCCTTGACTGGACCCATATGAGACAAACCACCAGACAAACGTACAGGTCAGATCTGTGGAGGTGACTCTGCTCTGCTCACATCAAGAATACATGGGCCCGGTCAAGTAGAAGTAAACAGCAAGGCCAAAAATTCAAGTTAATGTGACCATTTACTCTAGTTTATGAAACTGTTTACCTTTTTTCTTTTTTCTGTACCATTTTTGGTTCTAAAGTTACATACATTTTAAGCAGACCATGTATGAAACATGGAACAAAAATTATTTCCCAAATTTCAAAGACAAATCATGTAAATAAATGGATGTATTTCATCATATCTTGTGTTATAGCATATGTAAGTGAGAACCGTTAGTTATCACTGTTTGTATTTATTGCCCAAAAAGTGCTGCATATTTCATTCCCTCCGTTACCGACATGAGTTTTAAAATTTTTTGTCAACAACTTGAAAGAATATCACAGGTTTAACTTTACCCTGTTGGAGTGTAACTCTTTCCTACATTCTGATACTTTACTTATTTCAATAGTCCCTCTAGTTTCTGAATAAGAGACATTTGAATGTAAAAAATCTGCCCCTGTTTCCCTCCGTTAACACTTGACTGGACCCTCATGTTTTTCCAGGGAATTTGATAAAGAGTAAAAAAGCTTTCAAAAATATTTCTGTGCATAGAACAGAAATCCATGCATATTTGGGAAATCCGTGCATATTTGTCTGTAGTTGCGCATACAGTAAATATTTGTAAACTCTCAAATGAGTCCAGTCGTACATAAAACAGATTGTGTGTATTTTATTCATCAGAATACGAACTGAAAAGTTACGACGTCAAGAATTACAATCACGAAATGAAAATTTACGATTACGCTTTCATCAGTACGAATACAAATTCACAGACGGAACTTTACTGTCAAAAATACGTCATCACTTCACAGACGTTATCCATCGAGCAGAAGAAACATCGATCAAGATCAAGACTATGCAGGTTTAAGTTTGTAGCAGAGGGTAAAACTAGAGCTTGAACAGCGACCAACAAGTGGGTTCATTCAAATTTATTGTAAAAATGTCTTGTCTTGGCACATTGAATTCGGGAACTGAACACTGCCCTCCCTCCTTTGAACGGGAAATTGCACAGATATCTTAGTCGATAACAGAGTGGAGCCAGTTGGCGAAACATCAGACATAACGTTATCCCAGGGCTAATTAGTAAATATCTGTGTTTTCTGTATGTTTAGATTAAAACATTCTCGGCTACAGCCACAGCGAGCATCAGTCAGTTTTAACCTTCATCTCAGCTGCATTACTCACATGAAATGCGAACAAAAGTTCCTCGGGACGCTGAAATGTCACAGTTTACACCAAACACGAGCAAACTGTCCCGGTTACAGACGTCACAGCCAATGAAACGTTACACATTACAGTTTAATGCAGCTTTTCCAGCATCAATTAATGTTCTTGTTCACAGGCAACACCTTGGTATGTTTACAGTATTTACCGGTAAGTTTAACGTCACCGTGTCGTGGCGTGGATGGATTTGCTTTTATATAACCCATTGTCTGCAACCAGGACAGTTTGGTAGTACAGTTTGAGCCAAAGCAGTATTGGAACAAATGCAAAAACAGACACATTTTAGTGCCATACTGTGGTACATCCAGGCAAAGCGATAACACAACAAGACAATCAGGAGAGGAAAATGACAAACTGCACCTTTAATTCACGTGAGTAACTCTGAGTATTGTTTTTACTTCCCTAAAATGACTAAGTGTCAGCCTCTCGACTTTCAACACGTAATAAAAGCATCGTCTCTGCTGTTTAAAAGTGTAATAGGCACGTTCTCTAAACTTTCAAGAGCAGAAAAATCACTCAGCTCCTTGTTGAAAGATTAAAGTACTACTCAGTGTTCGGTTTATTTTTATCTGATCTTTTGGCAGCCAATTTTCCAGTAAAAACGGGTCCTCGTCTCAAAAAAGAAGTTACGATCTTTTATTTAAGGCTGGTGATATAGATGCGTCCTTTGATCTGAAGGTTGGCGGTTTGTTTCCTGCTCTGGACATAAATATTACAGGTAGAGATCCTGACTCATAAGCCGGTTTCGCTTTGTAGAAACCGTCTGACCTCGCAGTGTTAGGACTCGTTCGCTTGACAGTAGGCAAGTACTTTTTTTATTTAACCAATCGCTGCTATTTGGTCGTGACGTATGTAATGCGCCAGTAACAGGTGCTTTTCCCAAATCCCGTAGGAAGAAGGACAATAACGTCTCTCCCCTTGATAAAATTCACCAAACATTCTCTTTATTCCAGCTTTAAATCCTCGATCTCGGGAATCGTTGCCAACACAGAATGTATGGCTCTTCGTTGATTGGTTGGTGCCCGAACTCGCACTTCCGGGGTTTTTGCAAATCGTCTAGTGTATTTTGATTCCTGACCTAGTCGCTGGAGAGAAATGAAATCGGAGGCCCTAGGAGGTGCCAGTCTGACTACTGACATACAAGTTTTTGGTGCAATTCAAGCTTCCACAGATGAAAATTGTTGTTGTATCTTAAGGCAAGACACGTAACCTCCTTCGCCTCCAGTGTGTGTGTGAATGCGTGAGTGGTTTGAGTACTGTATTTTCCGGGCTATTAGGCGCTCTGGATTATAAGACGCCATTGAATGGTCTTTTTTCGAACTTTTTTCACAAATAAACCGCACCGGACTTTAAACGAAACACAACAGTGTGATGGGTGAGTGGTTTTGTTTGTTTGTGGCGTTCACGGTGACTCTGGGCTTTGTTCAGTTGTGGCGTGTAGGGAGGGTGCTGTCTGGGACCGCTGGATTGTCGGCGTGTTCGCAGTGACTCAGTTGTTCAGTCGTGTCTAGAAGCGGCACATTGCGCTCGCTTTTTCGGTTCGTTCCTCCGTTCCGTTCCTCGTCGGCGTGGAGTGATGAGTGTGTCTGTGGGTGTATTTCGCTGTGCGGTCGCTGTCTGCTCCGTGTGTGTTTGTGTGCACTGCGGCTTTGTAGTTTACTAAAGTCGTGCCTGGACATCAGAGTGGATTCGTGTATAGGGCGCTCTGGCTTGTGGGGCGCGCGTTCGTTTTTTGATGGGGTTGGAGGCTTAAGAATGCGCCTAATAGCCCGGAAAATACGGTACCTTGAAGACACATGAACCTGATAATTTCTTAGAGAATAGAAAGTCACCTGTTAGAATTCTCCATGATGCTGTGGAGCCCTGAGGACTGGCTCCCGCTGATGTTTGTGGAGCTAAGGCCGTGGAAGCGCTGGAGGGGCTGAGGGCCCAGCGGAGGACCCAGTGCAGGGCCGAGTATAGGGCCCGGTGTGGAGCCCGGTGTGGGACCCGGCGTGGGGGCAGACAGGCTCCTTGTGATGTCCCCCAGGATCCTGGGCAGGGGCCCCAGCTTTGCCACTGTGGCCTGCAGGAAGGAGTTTTCACCCTGAAGTGGCCATTTTAGGTTCACAAACAGAAAAGGAGGTGGTGTAGGACAGCGGAGGACAGAGCGAGACAGGACAAACGAGGAAAGAAAAAGGACAAATATTAGCGCTCATGCTCGAAGGAGAGGAACATGCAACTGTCACTTTATCATGCGAATCCTCCTCCTTCAACTCAAATCAAGCTTCTACACAATCCATCACGGGGAACATGCTGGGGGGTGGAGCTGCGTCACGGGGGGCGGGGCTTAACAATGTGAGGGCGGGGTTTAGGCTTGAAAGTGAAAAGGTCCACATGCTGTGAGGGGGGACGACACACTCAGGACATCGGCCAGGTCTGGACTAAAATAACAAAGTGTGTGAAATTAATTATAGCTTTGAGGATGGAATTGAGTAAGTTTGAGTGTTTAAATGAGAGTCAGGCTAGTTTACTGTTATAAAAAAGCCCCACTCTGTGTACAAGTGTATCATCTCAACATGAAAATAAACAGAAGGTAAATATGCAAAATATAGAAATAAGCTAAACACGACTAAGCAAAAATGTTACTGTCAATACATGCATCACGAATCTCGCTCAATCCATACTGGGAAGGATTTTCCCAAAAATTGAGCATCAAACCGCCATGTTTGTTTTTCCAGTGGGATGTGTCTATTGACAAAGTCGATCTTTTCAAATCTTTTGAACCATATCACTTTTGTTTCTGGTTCTGATATTGTCATATTTTAGATTTGGGATTCGGACATCGTAATTGTGTGGTTGTTGGATCCTAACAGCGGAAAACAGGCTTCAGAAGTTTTCAAACTCCATAAATGCAAAAGGGAATCAGATGTGTGTGACTGCAAACCTCTGTTCAAACTGTTTCCCTTCCCAGCAGAATTGAAAAATAGTGAAAGGTGAAGGCGATGGGCAGGATTGATCCACAGGAAGGACCAAAAAGGAAACCTTTGGCTGCCTAAGAAATCATCCCGTGTTTGCAGTGAACATTTTGTATGTGGAGCACCAACAAAGCAAAATCCCATTTGTTAAGCGAGAGATACAAAAGACAAACTCGCACTTTCTTGTTCGACTTTACAGCAACATCACGTCTTGGTCTCTTTTCAGTGGAAGGTGTTTCTTGGTGAACAGTTGGTGCCTTTCACTTTGGCGTTGACTTTTTAAATTCGTAACTGAGGTTGAGTGAGGGATCGGGGTTTTGCTTTCTGTTTACTTATTCATCCTTCCTTTGTATCAATACTACTCATCGTCTTCGCCTTTCACTGTTTTTCAATTCCGTTGGGAAGAGAAACAGTTTGAACGAAGGTTTGCAGTCACACACATCTGATTCCCTTTTGCATTTATGGAGTTCACAAACTTCCAAAGCCCGTTTCTCAAGAAGTTTTCCACTGTTAGGACGTCCAACAACCACACAATTACGATGTCCCAAAACCAGAAACAAAAGTGATATGGTTCAAAAGTCTAGAAACGATCGACTTTATCAATAGACTGGGAAAACAAACATGGCGGTTTGATGCTCACTTTTTCGGAAAATCCTTCCCAGGGTGCATTGCGCGATGACTGGAAGTCCGAAATTCGTGATGCATGTATTGTACTGTACATATTTGGTAACAATACAACTCAAATATTAAGTAAAATTTTGGACAGAACTAAATATTCATGATGTTTTAATGTTCACACAGACAGATTAATAAATGTTACAATCCTAAATTATAAAAGTATGCATATATATGGTTTTACACAAGACTAGACTAGACTCTGAGTGCATATTTTTGTTTTTGTAATTATTATTTGTCGAGATAGTGCCTGTAGTGAATGTTAGTACAGTTTACAGTGGTCCGTTGGCCCAGTACCTTGTCGAGCTGCGAGACCACCTCCCAGAGCAGCGCGTGCAGCACAGACAGCTCTCGGCCCAGGTCCATGTAGCCCTCGAAGCCCGGCGTGGAGGACAGGCTCTCCGGGTTAGAGATCTCAGACAGGAAACGCATCATCCCCGCCCACTCGTGCTCCAGGAAGTCGTTCATGAAGGCCATGTACTCCTCCTTATTCCCAAACCTGGCACGCACAGGACGGCACACGAGAGTCAAGAGACGGCTTCAAGATATCATGTTATAGCCACGTTAAAGTCTCTATTGAGGCCTTCTCTGTCTCTCTCTTTCTCAGAGTCTGCTGGCCACAGTTGGTAATAAAACACCAGGGCGACTAAATGTGCAGTGAACGCCTTTTAAGTGCAAAAATTACTAGAACACATGCAGCGTATTGATTATAGCGGCATTTATTCCCTTTTGTCTCACGTCAAACTCATTATCTCACTATGTAACGTTTGTGGTGGGGGTCCAATCTTTTTTTTTTTTCATTGACAAAATTTCTAAACTTTTCTAAGACTTTTTCAAGACCTAAAGTGAATTTTCCATGATATGGCACCTAAATGTGTAGAATTGATCAGATTTTTGGCTCTAAATATGAAATGTTAAGCCTTTCCACTCACCTTATGGTTTGGGATTATAGTTTTTTAACACTCAAAATACTGTTAGTGAGGGTTGGGCGATAATACAGTATTACAGTAGCAAAGGTATCAGTTTCATTACAGTCATTAAAAAAATCTGCAGCGCAAGGACCTAATATAAAATTATAATTTACTGATACATGAACGTGTTTGCTCAGCACAAATTAATATGAGGTTGTATTTCCAATTTAATTCTATCACGATTTAAAACTAATAGTGTCTGTAATGTTTCTTTTAACTGGGGGAGATGATGTTCGATTAATTTCGTTCCGTTCTCACGTGACGCTCATGAGGGACAAGTCAGGGACAAGTCCGGCTGCAAGCGAGTTGGTCCCAAAAAATAAATAAATAAATAAAATTAAATACTACTACTTCTGCAATTTGGCAGCATTTTGGCTTCAGTCCACATTTGTTTACGTTTTACAGAAATTAAACTCAAAACCACATGGCTCATTTGCATAAACTATTAGTGCTCTTTGTGTCGCTGATGTGGTTCAGCTTCTGTCGGACTAAAGGACACGACTCAGTGGAATATGAGCGTTCTTTCTGTGACAGAGGATGTGCTGCTGATGGTGAGTCTGTTCTGTGTGTGTCGTGTTGGAGATGGTTCATGTGAAACTTTTCAGAGATTATAAGTCTGTAGGTCGTACACATAAACCATACAGTGTTGTGGCTTTGTAGATTACCAAAGTCGTACTAAAACGTTTTGATAATACGGTAATATCGTATACCCCGGGAAAAATCCTGAGAAGGTTTAACGGTATCAAAATTTGGAGACCGCCCAACTCTACTGTCAGTGCATTTATTGTCGTCTCTTTTAAACAAAAGGCGCAGATGTTCGGAAATAATAACAGCCTCATGAGAACTTAACAAAACACTATAGCTGCGTGAAAGAGATACTAAAATTCCATGACTTTTCCAAAACATTCATTGAATTTATAAAATCCCATGTCTTTTCCAAGCCTGAAAAATGACATTTTCAATTCCCATGACTTTTCAGGATTTCCATGACTGAGGAAACACTGGTTCTTGCTTTGCCTGGAATGTTCCACAGGTGTTTTTTCTGACTAAAATAACACCTTGAAAATCATACTTTCTCACTATGAACAAGGACACCTCTCTTTTTGACCTGAAAACTGACCTGGTGCTTGTCGTCATGGCGACAGGTAAGTTTAACGCCATACTGTGGAACATCCAAGGCAATGCAATAACACCTCCATTAAGACAAGCAGGTGACAGACCCACCACCAGAGATTAAAATTAAGAGTTTTATATTTTGATAAAGCATAGCAAACATTTAAATCATATATTTGCGCAACCTAAAATTACAAATATATGAATAAAATGCATAGTATCATTTTAAAAATGTGCTTAAAGGCCGTGTATCCAATTTTTGTCCATGGATTTGAGGATGGATTTGCCTTTATTTATAGATATATTGTATAAGGAGCTCAAATCCATCGTTTACTGCCAGAATCTAATAATAAAAGCGTTTCATTGCAAAAATAAAATGTTGCTCGTGGTGTGAGTGCGGGGACTTGCGAGCGTCGTACTTGGAGAAGTTGGCGAGGTTCTGGATGACCTTGGCGATGAGGGTGAGGGTGCGGGCGGTGCGGTCGTCGGGGTACTCCTGCGTCAGGTTGAACAGCGAGGGAGACATGATGGCCGGGCAGAGGAAGCGCAGGAAGAGAGACGCGCTGACCAGACGCTTACTGATGTCCGCCGAGTGCCCGCGGGCGAGGCACTGCTGCCGCCAGGACGCAAAGACCTCCTTCAGCTCGCGAGGGAAAACACTGGAGAGAGGAGAGGGAAAAAAAAAGAGCAGTGAGAGAGACAGACGTGAGAGAGAAAGAGAAGGAGAAGAGAGAGAGAAGAGGGAGGGAGAGAGGGGAGGAGTGAGGAACAGCAGGTAGATGAGTAAGAAAGAAGCGTGAGAGAGAAAGAGAGGTAAGAAGATTGAGAGAAGAGTGAGAGATTGGAAGAGTGAGAGAGAAGAGTGAGAGAGGAGCGAGAGAGGAGGGCTGTGAGTGAAGAGTGAAAGAGGAATGAGAGAAGAGAGCGAGATTGGAGGAGTGACAGAGAAAGAGAGATGAGAAGAATGAGAGAAGAGAGAGAGATTGGAAGAGTGAGAGACTGGAGGAGCGAGAGAACAGTGAGAGAGGAATGAGAGAGAAGAGTGAGAGAGATCAGATGAGTGTGAGAGGAGGGGTGAGAGTGAAGAGTGAGAAAGAAATGAGAAAGAAGAGTGACAGCGATTGGAAGAGTGAGAGAGAGGAATGAGAAGAATGAGAGAAGAGTCAGAGAGGAATGAGAAAGAAGAGTGAGAGAGAAAGAGAGAAGAGTGAGAGATTGGAAGAGTGAGAGAGAAGAGTGAGAGAGGAGGGGTGCAAGTGAAGAGTGGGAGGAGTGAGAAAGAAGAGAAACAGACTGGAAGAGTGCAAGAGAAGTGTGAGACAGATTTGAGGAGTGTGAGAGAAACGACAAAGAGGAGTGAGAGAGATTGGAAGACGGAGAGAAGAGTGAGAGAGGAGGGGGTGAGAGTAAAGAGTGAGAGAAGGGATGAGGAAGAGAGGGGGAGGAGTGAGTGAGTGGCTGAGAAGAGTAAAAAAGAGGGGGAGAGGTGAGAGAGGGGGAAGGTGGTGGTGAGAGAGGGAGAAAGGATGGGTGAGAGCTCGTGAGGGGAGGAGTGATAGAGAGGACTAAGAGAGAGGGAGTGAGAGAGCGCAGATCAGAGTATTTGCTGCCTCCCTAAGAGAAACCACAGTGAGTGCCCTGTCTGATTGAGCTGACAGGAACTGAGAGCAGCTGTGAAGAGCAGAAAGGAGCAAAGAGGAGCAAAGAGAAGCAGAATGGAGCAGAGAAGAGCACAGAGGAGAAAAGAGGAGCTGAGAGGAGCAGAAAAGAGCAGAAAGGAGCAGAGAGGAGAAAAAAGGAGCTGTGAGGAGCAGAGAGGAGGAGAGAAGAGCAAAGAAGAGCAAAAAGGAGCAGAAAGTAGCAGAGAGGAGGAGAACGGAGCAGAGAGAAGCCCACGGGTCAGTACCAGTAAGAGTTGATGATCTTGCAGAAGGCCAGCTCGCAGCACATCTTGAGGTTGCTGCGGTGCTCTGACAGCTGGTTGCTGGGACAGCGGCTCGGGTCCACCTCACAGTTCTCGTCCGACTCGTACAGGGCCTTGATGAACTCGCCTGTGAACGGAGCACGTCCAGTCAAACAAGAGTCACTCAGGCCCAAAGACACACACTCCAGTATAGACTGAAGCGAAACTGTTTTTCTTTACAACACTTGTAAGCAGAGATTGAGGGAGTGGGCTACATCGACTAGACTCTCACCTAAAGCATCATGGAGGTACTTCTGTCCCACCAGTTTGAGGTACTCCTCGATGGCTTTGGTGGCCAGTGTGTTCTCTCTGAAGATGAGCACATCGTGGTCAGCGCAGCGGTCCACCTCAGACATGACCAGGTCCGTGAGGAAGTCCTGCACGATACACACGACACATTAAAGCCTGTGTTATAAATATAACTGTGGCAGGTGTTGTGGAGTTTACAGTCGGCACCTTCGCTCGCGCTGTGCTCTGCAGGATGTGCACCAGCGCACAGGCCATCTCCTCCTTGTTGCGCACACTGATGACCGGCTCCAACACAGAGCACAGGGACGAGTAGTTGTTGGTGACAAACTCGGCAAACTCCTTGTACTGCTCCATGGGCAGGATGGAGATGGTCTGAAGTCGCCACTTGATGCGCACGGAGGGGGCGGGGCCTTTGCCTTTGACCAGACTGGGCGTGCTCAGAGAGTACCACCTCTCAGTAAACTGTCTGCTCCCACTGCCTCCGCTGCCTCCGCTGCTCCCACTGCCTCCTACAGAGATGTTCACCAGCCCCACGTAATTGTTTTTGTCCTTTTTCTTCTTCTTCTGGTTGTCGGACAGGTCGCGGTACACGTGCACCGTGATGCTGTGCACCGGGGGCAGGCCGCTGAACTCAAAGTACTCTCCCCAGAAGAGGCTGTCCGTGCGGGGCTTGGTGGTGGTGCGAGCGTACAGCACATCGTCCAGGCACAGCTCGCAGAAGTAACGCTTCTTTGGTGCCAGGTCTTTGGCCTCGATGATCCACAGGCGCAGAGACGTGTCCTCGCGACGACAGTTGTCCTGCACAAACAACAGTACGACAAACATCTCACGTGTAATTCTCTGAGATTGTGAACACTAGGGGCCTGCAAAAATATCAAAACATCAATATATCTTATCGTTTAATATGATGATACAGTATCAATATCGTGGGTTGCTGTATCGATATATCGCCAAGAGTATTTTTTTATATATTTTACGAAGCCGAGTATCCCCACGTTTGACTGCCCCAACTTTAAGACTTTTTTATGACCTTTTCAAGACTTAAATGGATAATTAAGACCAACATCGCACCCGTTACTTGGGCGAAAAACACCAGATACAATTCTAATAATGACCAACCAACTCCTATATCTGGAATCTAAGAGCCACTGTGGATTAAACCCACACTTCCCCAGGACCCATCCAACGTCTTCACCCACAGTAGGGCTGGGTATCATTATGAAGTTGCCGATACGATACATATCTCGATACAGTGAGCTTTCGATTAAATATGATATATTTCAAACCACTTTTTGTGCAAAGTTCATATGAAACACAAACATTTTATTCATCAAAACAGTGAAAATGTCAAATGTGTCGCATAAAAAAGTTTCCTTCCTCTGAACAAGCAACAAAACTGTAGCTCTGTAACAAAATAATTTAGTAAAATATACCAAAAAGTACTCTTGGTGATATATCGATAAAGCAGCCCATGATATCGATACTGTTTCATCACATTAAGCGATACGATATATCGATATTTCAATATTTTTGCACACCCCTAACCCACAGTACTTATTGTTTACTCATTGCCGCTGATGCCAGAAACCAAAGTATTGTGATTATACATTGTTGTTTTTTTCTGCAGCCTGGTTGTGTTTACAAAAAAATAGACTAATTGAAATTTAAGACCTTTGTGAAGAAAATAAGACTTGGACAGCATAATTTAAGACTTTTAAGGCCTCAATTTAGGAACATATAATTTAAGACGTTTTTAAGACTTTTAAGACCTCGCGGCTGCCCTGGAGCGAAATTATTTTGTTACAGAGCTACAGTTTTGTTGCTTGTTTAGTGGAAGGAAACTTGTTTATGCGACACTTTTGACATTTTCACTGTTTTGAGGATTAAAGCGTTTGTTAAACCACTTCTTGTGTAAAGTTCATATGAAACACAAAGGCCTTTAGTATCACAACCATGATTTAGCCTCAAGCCCTGGTGAAGACCAATTAAGGTCGAAACATGTTGGCTTTGGCCATTCAAATAAAGGCCTTTTAACTATATTTTTCCTCGTGTGATTTTTAAAAACTTTTTCTACTTGTTTGGAGCGCCTGGAGTCCGTTGTGTTTGAGTTTTGATCCTTTTTCCAAGAGCACCCTCTACCTGCTCCTACTGATTGGAACACCTGCAGCAAACAGCCACATTTTTGTTCTTTCTGCATGATTTAGCCTTTATTGAACCGTATTGAAGAGATTTGAAATATATCGTACTGAACCGAAAGCTCACTGTATCGAGACGTATCGTATCGGCAACTTCTTAATGATACCAGCCCCAGTGAACCCCACAGTGTGACTGCAGAAAGAACACAGGAGGTGCGTGTGTCAGACCTTGTTGGGCTGGATGGTGCGCCGCAGGTTCTCCATCCATTTGTCCCTCTCAGACGCAGAGCTGCAGCTGAAGCACTTACTGCCCCCGGGGAAGGTGACCTGAAGCACAGTCCCCTCAGAGTCAGTGCACAAACATAAAAAAAACAAACATATGTAGAGGAATGTGCGAAGCGAGACCTCAAAGCAGTAGTCCTGTCCCAGCAGGCTGCTGTGGAGCGGCTTCACGCTCACGTCCTGGTCCTGCCCCAGCTCCAGAGTCTCCACCGCCCCGGCTGCGCTGACACAGTCCTCCTTTAGACGCACCAGACCCCCACATCTGATGAAAAGCACACACCTCACACGTCACACATCAGAGACTCATCCACACTCCCCATGTTTAAAAAAAGCCCTGAAAACCCATCTCTTTAAAAAAAAAACTTTCATTAAATGTCTTTTTCTCTTGTTTGTCGTTGTTTGTCTTCTCATGTAAAGCGTCTCTGGGTATCTTGAAAAGCGCTATACAAGTGTTATGTATATTATTATTATTTTTTTATTTTTTTAAATTAAAAGCAGTGAGATTGTAATGTTCCATGTCATAGCATTCATTTTCAAAACTATTATATGAACTAAACTTAACTACCGTATTTTCCGGGCTATAGGCGCTCTGGATTATAAGACACACTGTCATTAAATGGTCTATTTTCAAACTTTTTTCACAAATAAACCGCACCGGACTTTAAACGAAACACAATAGTCGGATGGGTCAGTGGGACTTCGTTTGGCGCGTTCAGTCCTCGGTTTAGTCCTCGGTTTAGTCCTCGGTTTAGTCCTGGTTTAGTCCTGGTTTAGTCCTGGTTTAGACCTGGTTTAGACCTGGTTTAGTCCTGGTTTAGTCCTGGTTTAGACGTGATTTAGACCTGATTTAGACCTGATTTAGACCTGGTTTAGACCTGGTTTAGACCTGGTTTAGACCTGGTTTAGTCCTGGTTTAGTCCTGGTTTAGTCCTGGTTTAGACCTGGTTTAGACCTGGTTTAGTCCTGGTTTGGACCTGGTTTAGTCCTGGTTTAGTCCTGGTTTAGACTGGTTTAGACTGTTTAGACTGGTTTAGACGTGATTTAGACCTGGTTTGACCTGGTTTAGACCTGGTTTAGACTGGTTTAGTCCTGGTTTATTCCTGGTTTAGTCCTGGTTTAGACCTGGTTTAGACGTGATTTAGTCCTGGTTTGGACCTGGTTTAGTCCTGGTTTAGTCCTGGTTTAGACGTGATTTAGACTGATTTAGACCTGTTTAGACCTGTTTAGACCTGGTTTAGACCTGGTTTAGACCTGGTTTAGACCTGGTTTATTCCTGGTTTATTCCTGGTTTAGTCCTGGTTTTTGGTTTAGACCTGGTTTAGTCCTGGTTTTTTAGTCCTGGTTTAGTCCTGGTTTAGACCTGGTTTAGACGTGATTTATTCCTGGTTTAGTCCTGGTTTAGACCTGGTTTAGACGTGATTTAGTCCTGGTTTAGTCCTGGTTTAGACATGGATTAGTCTTTTTTCACAAATAAACCGCCCCGGACCTTAAACGAAACACAACAGTGTGATGGGTGAGTGGTTTTGTTTGTTTGTGTCGTTCACGGTGACTCTGGGCTTTGTTCAGTTGTGGCGTGTAGGGAGGTGCTGTCTGGCACCGCTGGATTGTCGGCGTGTTCGCAGTGACTCAGTTGTTCAGTCGTGTCTAGAAGCGGCACGTTGCGCTCTCTTTTTCAGGTTCGTTCCTCCGTTCCGTTCCTCGTCGGCGTGGAGTGATGAGTGCGTCTGCGGGTGTTTTTTCGCCGCGCGGTCTCTGTCTGCTCCGTGTGTGTTTACGTGGCTTTGTAGTTTACTGAAGTCGTGCTGGGACACCCGGGTGAATTCGCGTATAGGGCGCTCTGGATTGTCGTTTTTGATGGGGTTGGAGGCTCAAGAGCGAGCCCAATAACCCGGAAAATACGGTATTGTGGGTCTGTCTGCGCAGCTCAGCCTCGGTCTGTCTGTGTGTGTGGTTCAAAAAGCTTTCTCCTGTCAGCGGCACGTACACTGCTCCCGCCGTGTTTAGCCTCAGGTGGAAGAATAGCCCGGCGTAATTAGCGCGAGGGAAGTGAGCGTGAGCGTGCATATTCAGGCTCTGCTCACTTGAAGCGCGCTGTCGTAGAGATAAGTTCGTCAATCGGCTGATGGACTCTCACGTGGCTCACGGCGTGTGTCTGGGGTGATGATGTGATGATGTGCGGCGCGTGTGAATAAGACCAACCCGAAAGTAAAGTTAAACAGAACTAAATCTACTGCGCACTACCGTAGAAAGTCACTGCTCTCACTCAATACACAACTAAAACGATGCCTCCGATCTGTCATTACTTGTCTAAATCAGCAGGTGGCGCTGTGGGCAGTCTGAAGCTGGAGTTGCGGTCCAGTTTGGTCTGGCTCTTGGTCCTCTTGATGGAGCCCTTCAGACGTCTGCTAAAGAAGCCCTGGAGACAGAGGGAAGGACAGAGGTCACACACAAAGAGACTCATCGAAAGAAATATAGATACCGTATTTTTCGGACTATAAGTGGCACTTTTTTTCATGGTTTGGCTGTTTCCTGCGACTTATATATTAAAACTTTCACACTGACAGCCGGGACAGGGCGCTCTAGTCTTGTGTGCATGTATTATTCCTGTACTACTGTCACTTTGCATACTACTGCGCATGCGTCCTGTAGAAAAAGCTGCTGTTCTGCTGCAAATAGTGAAATCTTTAGCCAAATCGAGCAGCAGAAAGACAGTTTGGAGTGAGCGAGAAACTTGTGAGGGACTGACGAAAGGCGGGGATGGAGAGAACACAGCTTCATGGGAACAGGGAGGGTGCACCATAAAACTTTGGATGAATCGACAGTGCCTGAACTTCAATGACAACCGTGACCATCCTGTCGGGATTCAGAAAGGCTGAAATAATTCTAACTGGAACTGATGCCGAGTCTGACGACAGCGACACAGAAGAGGAAGCGGCGCTCTGTTTACATCATGGTTACCTATGGTTTATCTCCGGACGTCACTCAGAATTGACACCGAGGATGAAGAATCGATTTGCAGTGATGGCGAGGAGAAAATTCAGTTTGTCGACTGGACAAAAGTTAGTTTGGTTAAAGACGTTTCGCAGCTCATCCAAGCTGCTTCTTCAAGTTCTGGTCAGACGCTGGTGGACACCTTCCTTATATCTGTCTGCAGGGAGGAGCTGACTAACTACTCTGAAACTAACACACCTACTTGTTTACAGATTTGGAGTGAGATCATGGAGTTTGGTAAACTTATGTTCTGTTGTTTATGCTATAATTATCTGTTAATTTATCTGTAATTATCTGTAACTGTTAACATGTTACATTAACACATTAACGCCTGTTCAGTCTGTTGTTCTCTGTTCTGTTGTTTTTACTAGAACTTGACTTTCACGATGAAATGTCAGTTCCTGGTCTCTGATTTTATAAAATACATTTCCTCAAAAAAGTGCAACTTATATATGTTTTTTTCTTCTTCATTGCGCATTTTTTGGCTGGTGCGACTTACACTTATAGTCCGGAAAATACGGTACCTGTTTGTCTTTTTTAGAGTGCCATGAAATATTGTCTTCTTGTATATAACTTGTTCTATTGTCTTGTCTTCTATTGTACATCTTGTTTTTGTTTTGTCAGTTTACACCAGGGGTGTCAAAGTCATTTTGGTCTGGGGGCCGTATCCAACCTACTTTGATCCCAAAGGGGCCGGATCAGAAAACTCATCTCATATAAACCCCAAAATAACAATAACTTCAAATATTTGTGCAGAGAAACACAAATCTATTACAGAAATCTTTTTTAATTGATGAACTCTTTTTTATTATAATATTATAATATTATGAACAACCTGAAACTTGAAGACAAATTCAATTTCAACACAATGTTTTAACAATAACTTGTATGCAAACAGGAATAAGTCAATTTTTATTGTAAAATCCTGCACTCGGCTCCACTTTTCTCATGTTGGACATTTTTCTGATGAGGGTGTCACGGTCAACAGTCAAAACGATCGTCCTTTAAGAGCGTTTGGAAAGAGACAAGTCTTCATTTGTGCTGCTCTGGTGGGAGGGGCCACGTACAGAGACGCTGGAGACGCTGATATGATAAACACCGCAGAAAATTACCAATATTTTAATAGAAAATATAATTAAAATATTTTAGTAGAAAATCACCCAAGAGCCACATTAAAGGTCTTGGAGGGCCGGATCTGGCCCCCGGGCCTTATGTTTGACACCTGTGGTTTACACGTTTACACACACACTACGAATAATAAATATTAAATAACTGGGTCAGTGCAATATAAATTAATTTACAAATCCAAGTAAACCTGCAAACTGTAACTGAGGTGGTTCGAATGACCCAGATCCAGATTCAAAAATGAAATGTCGCTTATCCATTTCTGCCAAAAGTCTGATTATATGCAAGATAGTGTTTTTTATCAGCAAAGTTTTAGTGCTGATGCTACATGACCAGACGAACCTGAACGTCTCATGGGTTCTGTGACCTACTCTTGACTGGGACAAGAGTCTGACAGGTTTTAGGGACTAGTGCATGTAATCGTTAGAGTTCTCAGTGTGTATAAATGTACTGCGTGTCTGTGTGAGTGCGCAGACTGACCGGGACTTTGAACGGGGAGGAGGTGGGGGGTTCTGCGGGGCTGGGGCTTCTGTCCGGACTGAGCCCAGAGATGCTCCTCCTCCTTGGAGAGTGGTCAGCACAAACATCTGCAAACACAACACCGCCGGAGCATTAGAGACCAGGAAGGAGAAGGGAGTAAAGACGGAGAGTAAGTCGGGCTGTGTGATATGAGGTCAAACTCTGAGCAAATTAAAGCTAAACACCGTTTCATGTTCCCCCACAGTCCACTGATGCTCGCAGAGGACACAAGTAATGATTCCGAGTGTCCTCTGAACAGAAAAGGAGCTGCCAAAATGGAAAATTGTGCATGATGTTTCATATTTTATAACGTACATGAAAAAGATCCACACTTTTGGAAATGGCATAATAAAGATGTCATGTCTCATTTAGGATCTTAAAGATTTTTAGGTACTCTTGGACTTCTTCAAAATGTCTACCTCACAGTGTTGGGAGTAACGAGTTATAAAAGTAAAAAATTACTGTAATGTGTTGCTTTTTGCTGTAACGCAGTAATGTTACGGCATTACAGGGAAAAAAATTAATATTTTACTCTGTACAAATGTCAGTAAAGCGCGTCACAATGCTTTTTTAACCTGGATTGAAGTGATGGGTTTTTCGTTTTTCTTCATACAAATTCGCTAAAATCACCGGGATATCAGCAGCGGTGAAACGCATCATAGTTACGGTTCCGAATGTCGGGACGGGCCCAGAGGACCGACACAAAACTCTGCGCTCCACGAGGCTAAATGCAACCCATGCCCGATCGCGCTTTGTGGACGCCCTGCTACATGGACTCGAGGTTCTCTCAGGGGCGGTCCTAGATTACAAGTCCTAGTCCAAGATTAGTCCTGGTTTGTTCCTGGTTTAGTCCTGGTTCAGTTGTAGTTTAGTCCTGTTTCAGTCCTGGTTTAGTCCTGGTTCAGCTCTCTTTTTTAGACCTGGTTTAGTCCTGGTTCAGTCTTGGTTTAGTCCTTGGTTTAGTCCTTGGTTTAGTCCTGGTTCAGTCCTTCATTTAGTTCTGGTTCAGTCCTTCGTTTAGTCCTGGTTCAATCCTTCGTTTAGTCCTGGTTTAGTCCTTGGTTTAGTCCTTGGTTTCAGTCCTGGTTCAGTCCTGGTTCGGTCCTGGTTTGTTCTTTGGTTCAGTCTTGGTTTAGTCCTCAGTTCAGTCCTGGTTTAGTCCTGGTTCAGTCCTTGGCTTAGTCCTGGTTCAATCCTTCGTTTAGTCCTGGTTCAGTCCTTGGTTTAGTCCTTGGTTTAGTCCTTGGTTTAGTCCTGGGTTTAGTCCTTGGTTTAGTCCATACGTTATTTGACAATCAGCGACAGTTATTTTGTTGAGAGTCATTTAAAGTGCTGCAACAGTTGTGTAATATTTTACATTTTAAACACATTAATATTGTAATGTAACAAATTACTTTGAAATGACAGAAACAAGTCATAAATAAATAACTCATTACAGTTTTGAAGTAACTTGCCCAAAAGTGTTTCCTAATGCATCATATTACATCATATAAATTATAAAAAGTCTTTTAAAGATTTCTCTACAGTCTCTGCTGGAGAGAACAAGTTTAAATGAGACTGTAGCTGCTGCAAGCACTGAAAACGATTTATAGTTTGGGTTTAAACCAGAGCTTAAAGCCACAGTGTGTAACTTTTTAACCTAAAATAAAATTACACTGTTCTGTTTTCAGTTTGGTTGTGTTTATTGCGCTGAAAAACACTGAAAAATTCTTACTGTGCATGGGCTTGCATCTCCACAAACCTGACTATGACTTTCCACTAGGGATGTAACAGTAACCGAAATATCGTCATATCGTATCGTCAGAAGTCTCACAACAATATCGTGGGCTGTCACAACTTCGCTTAAATGCATGGATTTACAGTAGCAACAGCTTATAAACATCGGGAACTACATATCCCATGATTCATTTCAGCGCAGACAACATGAGGAGATGTTTTTTACTTGAATTCTTGGGATTATGACGGAAATAATTCACACCAAAATCTTGTCAAGGTATTTTAAAAGTAAAAACATGTCCCATTTACAATTATATTAGTCTCTTCAAAATATCGCAACAAATATCGTACCGTGAGACACACATCGTGATAATATCGTACAGAGAGATTTGGATATTGTTACATCTATACTCAGAGGTGGGACCAAGTCGTTGTATTGTAAGTCTCAAGTCTTTGACCTCAAGTCCGAGTCAAGTCCCAGGTGAAATAAAGGCAAGTCCAAGTCGAGTCTCGAGTCGCTGGCCCATAAGTCCAAGTCAAGTCCAAGTCGTCTGCTTTGAGCTCCGAGTCATTTCAAGTCTTTAAAAAACGAAACATAGCTTAGATTTTTGCAATTTCTATGATTTTTAAAGTAAATTGTACTTAAGATATTCATGGTATATTTATATATGAGTATTTATAAAGTTGTAGAAATGCTCATTTTTTTCCTTTTTTAATGTCTTGACAAGATCTTAGTGTGAATCATTACGGTCAGAACAGAAAGAGTTAAGATTTAAGAGTGCTTAATAAGTATTTTATCAACTAGTCTAAGCATCAAGTCTTCTCAAGTCACAGGGCTTAAGTCCAAGTCAAGTCCAAAGTGACTGACCTTCAAGTCCAAGTCGAGTCCTAAGTCAAATACAGGAAAGTCCAAGTCGAGTCTGGAGTCACTGGCCCATAAGTCCAAATCAAGTCCAAGTCATTTCAAGTCTTTAAACCAAAGAACCAATATAGCTTAGATTTTCGCTATTTATATCATTTTTAAACTAAATTGCACTTTTTAAAAAAATCACGGTATATTGATATAAGAGTTGTAGAAATGCTCATTTTTTGCTTTTTAAATGTCTTGACAAGATCTTAGTGTGAATAACTACGGTCAGAACAGAAAGAAGTAAGATTTAAGAGTGATTAGAAAGGTATTTTGTCAAATAGTCTAAGCCTCAAGTCTTCTCAAGTCCCAGGGCTCAAGTCCAAAGTGACTGACCTTCAAGTCCAAGTCAAGTCCCAAGTCAAATACAGGCAAGTCCAAGTCGAGTCTCGAGTCACTGGCCCATAAGTCCAAATCAAGTCCAAGTCATTTCAAGTCTTTATACTAATATAGCTTAGATTTTCGCTATTTATATAATTTTTAAACTAAATTGTACTTAAAAAGTCACAGTATATTTATATATGAGTATTTATAGAGTTGTAGAAATGCTCATTTTTTCCTTTTTAAATGTCTTGACAAGATTTTAGTGTGAATAATTACGGTCAGAACAGAAAGAATTCAGATTTAAAAGTGCTTTATAATTTATTTTGTCAACTAGTCTAAGCATCAAGTCTTCTCAAGTCCAAGTCAAGTCCAAAGCGACTGCCCTTCAAGTCCAAATCAAGTCCAAAGCGACTGCCCTTCAAGTCCACGTCGAGCCCCAAGTCTTCGTCAAGTCTCAAGTCCTAAAAACAGTGACTCAAGTCTGACTCGAGTCCGAAGTCACGACCTGCAGGCCCCCGCCTCTCTCCCTACTTTCCACAGCACGACGTAAACCTGTTTACGTCTACAGATAATGTCCCGTACGGTTTTAAACTTTCTATCACCATGGAAACGCGCGGGCGACGTGCCACCTCAAGAAAGTTCCGCACGGTGTCGTAAATGAACAAGAAAAAAGTTGGGGTCAAGTTACACGGACTGGATTTCAAAGCAAAATCTGTGTAATGACAACACAAGTCCAGATATTTTTGAGGTAAATTTTAACCTGGAATGACCTAAAAAAAGACAAAAAAATCAGTTTATCATAGTACAGAAGTATGAGAAATGTTTTTTTTTTGAGTCAATCGTCTTCTCCGGATAACACGGAAACATCTCTACACCGTACAGTACAGCAGACATCCCACACCGGTCCTCTGTGGCCAGGGCGCGGGGGGGTGGGGATGGGGGGGGTGGAGCCTGTGGCCGCGTTTGTTTGAGCCAAAGTTTGAAGCGGCCATGATGGCGGCAGGTCACATGACGCACACTTTTACCTCGGTCGCAGCTGTTCCCCATGGCGCGTCGCTGGGCCAATCACGCGGCGGCGGCTGCGGCGGCTGCTGCTGGCGGCGGTGTGTGCGCGCGCGTGTGGACGGGTGTGCCTCTGTCCCGGGCCGAGCGGGGCCATGTGTGTGCCGAGTGCAGAGCCGTGTCCGCAGTGTGCAGTCTGCAGCAGCCCCCTCTCTCCCTCTCTCGCTCTCACTCACTCTCCTCCTCTTCTTCCTGTTCCTCTTCTTCTCTCCTCCGTACAGCGCCGCATCATCACCCCCCCCCTCCCTGCACCTACACCACAGACTAAAGAGAAACTGGGATAAACGACACCTCAGACTAGAGACGGGTTTATTCAAAAATGAAAAGTATCACAATTCTTGTTCTAAAAATATACGCAAAATTAGAGCGTCAAGTATATTGTCTGAGTTGTCAAAACAAGTATCGAAAAACAAGTACTAGGGATGTGACGATATCCAAATCTCATGGTACGATATTTATTGTGATTTTTTGAAGAAGTTAATATAATTGTAGATGGGACACTTTTTTGCTTTTAAAATACCTTGATAAGATTTTGGTGTGAATTATTTCCATCATAATCCCAAGAATTCAAGTAAAAAACATACTTATTCGTGTTGTCTGCGCTGAAATGAATCATGGGATATGTAGTTTCCGATGTTTATAAGCTGTTGCGACTGTAAAACCATCCATTTGAGCAAAGGAACTTGTAATTCGATATATTGTGACAGCCCACAATATTTTTGTGAGACTTTTGATATTTCAGTTACTGTTGCATCCCTATTAATCACAATTGCAGTCCCCAAATGAACTGATCTAAATCCAGTGTTGGGGAGTAACAGATTACATGTACCAGAGTTACGTAATCAGAGTACAAATTATGAGTAACTGTATTCAGTTACAGTTACTGTTTCAGTGAGTGGTAACTGGATTACAGTTACTTTGTTGATATAAATGGATTACACGGTGGTATATTCTTGTTTTCACATTTTGGGTTATATGGTAAATGGTCACATTTTTCTATAGCGCTTTTCCACCTTCAAGACACTCAAAGCGCTTTACAACAAGGAACCACTCACCCAT